TTGAAGGTGAAGCCCTAGCACGATAGGAGCCTAGTGTTGAACTTCTGTTCAGGGTAAGCTGATGAGCCGCTTTGAGATCAGGAAGGACTTTTCCTTCAGGGCGGGCTAGCAGAGGTAGTCGTTGTTGCTTGAGCTTTCCCTTACTCAAGGAATTTCTGAGAATTTTCCTGCATCAAACCTCACTTTGGGAAGTACGTAAGGCAGTGATGATGATTTCTAACCCTCTCATTCTGTATTCTTGTAAAGCATTGCAGTTGAGGATTTGTCTTTGTTTGTTAGGCCTTACACTTATGAGGATCTATTGCATAGGTTTTGAGGTTCGGAATGGGAGCATCCAGTCAATGTCTTATAGCCAGCTAAATTAGTCTGCTGTTTTTCTCTGTAAGAGCTGGATTTGGTGACTCAAGGGCCCCTTCCCACCCCACAGCTGTCATTCTACAACTAAAGGCTATGCAGAGGGCTCCTAACATTTTGGAGGCCATGAGCATTGCCCTTTTTTTGTTGTCCTTACAGCTGATCGTGTGTATTTTCTTGGTATCATRCTGTCTTGGAGCATCTCCTCGCCCATACTTGGGCTCTTCAGTTAGGTAAAGTAGTGTAAATTAAGAGGTCATTTACCCTGAGGCTTCCGTAGCCTGTGGAGAAAGAAGCGTGACAGGAAACTAGTTCAGGGCTCCAGACCACCTTGGGGGGTTACTTTCTATCTGCCTATCCAGGCAGTACTTGGTACAAACACTTGGTACAAATACCAATGCTCCCTTGCTGTCCGTGAGAGCTTTCCTGTTCGCCCAGACTGGGATGGCTGCCTGTGCGACACTGCATCGTAAGACAGCAGTAAGACAAGGTGCTACAGTGGAGCTGTGAAGTGTTAGATGAATTCCGTGGCTGGGAAATAAAAATGTTTATTGGAATTTGGTGACACAAATATGTATTTTTGGATATGAAATGGAAATAGTTGTTCCTGATAGAAACTAGTGGGCACTAGCACAGAAATAACATGAGAGACAGACATGTCACAGGAAAGCTATTATCTTCTGTGCATGCATGGATGTCCTGCTAGGTGTTTTTCCTGGATCTCAAGCTGTACTAGATTGCACTAGAAACACCAGAATTCAGTTATCTGTCTTTTTAAAATGTTTTCTTTTTAAATCTTAGTACATTGTCTACTTGTTGTTAGTTGTTCTTCATTTAATTTATAAGGCAGATCTCTATTTTTTTTTCTACTTTTTTTTTTTTTTTTTTTCCTAAGGCTTCTTTAGTAAGTTACCCCACAGAAGTGTGTAGAGCCTTATTTTAAAATTTGGCAAATGGGAACCAAAAGTTACTGGTCTCCATCTGTCTTTACACTTATGAAGTGAGTATCTGTCTGACCATTTCATAGTAAGGGGATGTCTCTGCCGAGATCCGTCACCATGGACAGTAATTAACGCGTTGCTGGCAATTTCAGCAAAGAGGTTGGTGATTGCACAGGGATGAAACTTGAGCTCTTCATACCAATAAAGAGTGTTGAGCTTTAATTGAGAAGACAGCCAAAAGAGTCTAGGCAGACGGAGCACTTCCTAGTTAAATGGACAGAACACTTCGGTCTCCAGTGTGGTTGGGCTGTCACCTTTCATCAGCAATAAGGCTACTTGCTAAATAAATAAAAAAGGCAACAAAACATTTCTATTAGTCATGACAGATGTTTGTCTTAGGAAAAGCTGAGAAAATAATGACCTGATTTAAATATTTATTAAATGAAGTGATTTTGAGGCATCTTTTAAGACCCAAAGCTAATTTATGTTATGACCAAAAAAATGCATAATTCATGTTACATATTACATCAGTGATGCAGTGTTGCTCAGAAGACATAAAACTGTTCTCACTTTAGTGTTTTTAATTTTAAGATTTAAGATTTAATTTTAAGATAGCCTGGCATTGAATGTTAATACTTCTTCTCTTCGTTATGTCCAGCAGTCCCATTTGGGTTTATGGGGTTAATGTGCCAAGCCATGAATGAGGTTAGTATTCAGATGTGTGTGTAACTCTGAGCCCTGTTCCAGACAACCTTTCCCCATTTCCAGATCAGTGACTTCTAAGTCTTTCAGCATCCCACTTTACAGTACTGAATTAATTTACTGTATCCTATGAATTATACAGCTGGTTTTGTTGTTGATCTGTAATGTATTCATTTATAGCAGGTTCTACCCTAGTAAAGTATTTAATTTTAAGTGTGCAGGTAGTTTTGGAGAAAAGAATGTGATTAGCTGAGATGAAAGTTAAACATCTGCCTAAATGCTTTGCTGGATTGAAGGCTTAGAAAAGAAGAAAAAAGATTRAACTATTTTTTGTTGAATGTGTTTCAAAGCTGCTTTATCTTAATAGTCTTATCACTAGACCAACCTCTATTTACTGATACTCAATATAGCATGAACTGCTCGACTTTTCTTTTCACTTTGTAGTTTTCTAGAGCTCTCTCTTGGCTTTTTTGAACCATAACCTTAAGCAGCAGTCTTGTTTTGCATTGGAAAATATATCTCTTCCTCTTTAGGCATACTTTAGGGTTACCACACATTAAGATCACTGTATGTATAAGGCACTCTACAGCTTGTGTCACTAGTCCATTTAACTCTACAATGTGGGAGGACAGCAGGATATTTGTATAGGTAACTGACATGTATACATGTATATATACATGTATATGTAATTAACTCTGAGACAGTGTTAGAACTAGTTGGAATGTGAGGAGTGGAGAAATACAGATTAAATCACTGAAAATGAAATCTTAAAGAAATATATATATGTTTTTCTAGTTCTAGGCTTTACCTTCTGGTGTTTTTCGTTCCCCAAAAGAGTGAGCCTGAGACCACACAGATGCCAGGAGATCTACAGAACTTAGTTTAATGTGCAGTCACTATAAAACTGCCCTAAATCCGGTAGCACAAGAATTACCTGTGATTGTAGCTATAGATGTACACAGAATCACGTAATGGCTGAGGTTGGAAAGGAYGCCTAGAGATCATCTAGCCCACCCTCCTGGCTCCATCAGGGACAACTATAGCACATGGCAYAGGGTGACATTCAGGCAGGTTTGGAAGACCTCCAGAGGAGGAGACTCCACAACCTCCCTGGGCAGCCTGTGCCAGGGCTCTGTCACCCTCACAGGAAAGAAGTTTCTCCTCATATGGAGATAGAACTACCTGTGTTTCAACTTATACCCGTTGCCCCTTGTCATATCACTGGCCACCACTGAGAAGCATTTGGCCCCTTCCTCCCTACATTCTTCCCTCAGGTACTTACACATATTGATCAGATCTCAGTCTTCTCTTCTCTAGACTTAACAGGSCCAGCTCACTTAGTCTTTCCTCATAAGATAGATGCTCAAGTCCCTTCCTCATTTTTATTGCYCTCCACTGGACCCTCTCTAGGAGCTCCATGTCCCTCTTGTCCTGAGGAACCCAGAACTGTCCCCARTACTCCAGGTGCGGCCTCACCAGAGCTGAGCAGAGGGGCAGGATCCCCTCCCTTGACCTGCTGGCAACACTGCTCCTCATGCAGCCAGGATCCCATCGGTCTTCTTGGCCACGAGGGCACTGCTGCCTCATGGCTAACTTGTGGTCCACCAGAGCTATTAGATCTTTCTCTATAGAGCTGCTTTCCAGCAGGTCAACCCCTAATCTRTACTGGTGCCTGAATCAGAACTTGGTCAGAGCCAAAGACATTGCTGAAATGACTGAAAGCCACACACAGCCACACAGCTCCAGGTGTTTTCAAAGAAAAGGACATTTGTTGAGTTGCCTTTACCCTTCCTTTGTCTTCTGCAGTGTTCAGTTGGATGTATTGTTATWCCTGAAGTGGCAACAGGCTCCTTGTGGCATTTGCACTGTTAATTTCCCCATGTGTTGTATTTCAGAGACAAACCTAATCTATTGTTGTCTTTCCCTCTTATTCCTCCCTATGTGAGCTTTTGGCATCTTTGTCAAGGATGACACTTTAGAAATGCTTCACTTGATTGCATTGCCTGAGCTTGAAGATAGAAGTGGGCTTAGGCACTCTTGAAAAAGTATGAACTGAGGCAGATGTTTAAACACTCTCTAAGATGTAAACCAAGTAAGTGTTTTCCCAGAAAGCTTGTTCATAATTGTTTTTGTGGTAGCTATCATGATAAGTAAGAGGAATTAAAAAAAAAAAAAAAAAAAAAGAAATGGCAGTGTGATTTGTATCACTTTGTTTTGCTGTTCAGGGTCTGTCTTTAGATGAATTCATAAGGCACTACAGATATCCTGGGTCTTGCCTTCCCCCATTCTCTTGAGGAATGCAAGCTAGACAGTGGCATATAGTGGGTAGACCTGATCTCTTTTCACATGCCTGCCCTGCCTTACTATGAGTCTTTAGTTGCTTCCCCTCTATTTATCACTGTTTTTCTTTCTGTGGCTTTAGACTACAAATGACAAAAAAAAGTGGGGATTGGCTCCTGCTCTGTGTTTGACTCTACCTACCTAACTTGAGGGTCTTACTGTCAACTGATATGTCAAAGGTTTTTGTTTTGTTTTTAAAATRCAAATAATTATTAATAAGACTGCTCCTCAATCTTCTGCAGCTTGGGACTCCCACTGTATTTGAGACTAACTGATCATTCCACCAACAGTATGAAGGGTCTGATGGACTTTCAAGTTTCTTGAATTGTTGACAGTAATATTTTCACTGATGGCTCAGGTGCCAGACTCATGTCYACTTCACAGACACAATTGAAAATTCCCTGAAGTATCCCAAGGCAAAAGGTGTACAGTACCAGGGCAGTTTTGGAAGATACTGGCTTGATGCCCATGCAGCTTTCTTGCACCATGGTCTTCCTTCTGCCTTTCTAATATGTATGAGAGCAGAGTTTTCATCATTTTTAATAACACATGARAATGAAATTGTGTCATGGCATTGATCTTATTGTAATCTATGTTCTTAGGTGTGAAGCTACATGCATCATTCTTCCTGTCTAACATTCATTTTCTGTTTGTGTTTTACAGCACTTTTACAGGCAGTCATAGCTGGTGATCTGCTGAAAGTAAGTACAGAATACTGAGTGTCTACTTTTCACAGCTCTTTGCAGTTTCTGATACACTGTAAATTATATCACACCTCTGCTGAAAAGATAAATAGACTGCCTTAAGGACTGCTGGCAAATACCATTTTACAGCCTTTCCAGGAAACCTGGAATATTAAGRATACACACAGTCAGGTGAGGTGTGAAATTCAAGTGAATAGAATCTGGTGTTAGACAGTTCAGGATTCATAGTGCACTGTACAGACCAATGTGTCAGTTGCTAACAGGAAGATTACTATACTGGCAAATGCAACAGTAAACCACAGAGTGGTTTTGATGCAGTCTTACACAGTCAAGGCTGTTTTCTTGCACTGAGGCCTGTGACTAAACACTAGCATTGCCAGGGGGCTCTTTAAGTAAATTCTACCTAGGCAACCATAAGACCAGGTAGAACGCACCTTAACTTCGTGTCTTATGGTCTGATGGATGACTGGAAAGCCAAAGGGTCTTGGAATTATATTTGTACCTKGTGTTGGAAGGAAAGGACACAGATAAAAAAATCTGCTTCAGAGTCTGAAGTTTTGTGTCTAACAGTTATTCAGGACATGTTTTTTTTCAGTAGTCTAGTCAGAATTTGCAAACACGCCCCTAAATTTGGATGAGGACTATGATTAATGATTGCAATATTATCTGCAAAAAGCCAGCTCGGAGAAATTTGTAAAAATGTCAGTACTATTAGGCTTACTCTTAGGCTGCACATGTACCCTCTATACCTCCATCCCTGTTCTTATGGCTGCAGACTTTTAAGGACACTCCTTCCAACCAGTGATCATAAAAATGCTGCCCTGATTTGGACTTTGTTGTGGTTTCCCCTTCTGGAAAGGTTTTCCCCTAAATTTGTTTTGAGAGGAAAGCTTCATGTCTTTCCCTAGATATACCATAAATAATCCCTCACTGTCACAGACTTGTTCCTCTTTTCTGTAAGTCTGCACTGCAAACACTTGCAGAGTTTTAGTTATGTTGAGAACTAACCAGATACTATTTCACATCCATTGTTACTCATTCCTGAATAGTTCTCCCTCTTGTGAGGGCTCTGGTTAGTGAGGAGACAGTGAGCGTGGAGGCCTGAGGCAGCTGAACCCCATCTCCCTGGGAGCCTATGGATTTTGAATCAGCATTTTCAGGTTTAGTGGGAAAGCATTTGCTGTGGGTTTGTCTCCTTTACTGAGAAGACATTGGATTTTTCAGTAGAGAGCCAGTATTTTTCATCAAATACATACATTTTTAAATATCCCAGTAGTTTCACTGGAAGTGGTTTTCCGGCTATTGATTGCAAGATCCATCACCAGTGTAGCAGCAATGTCTCATTGCTCAGCAACTATCATCTGCTTTTGTTAACCCATATTATTGTGGATAACCCTAATTTTAGATCTTTTTATATTGAGTTGTAAAAGCTTGCTTTAAATAATATTTTATTTTATTCCATTTTTTTGTACTAACCTCCTAGTAAAGTTWATAAATAATTTACCTACATATTTGTTTTTCTGCTCCTCCTGTCTTACCCTTTTCCTGTGCATTTTTATTGCAGTTCATAGAATGCTGTAAAAAGGGAGCCAATTTGTTAATCCAAGGACCTGATCATTGCTCCCTGTTGCACCATGCTGCCAGGACCGGGCATGGCGAGATTGTGAAATACATCCTGGAGCATGGTGAGTCACAGTGGGCAAATGCACAGAGAGCTGTACCCTAGCCAAGCATCTGTCAGGTAGAAGCCCATGGCACTTCTCAGTGTTGTCACTTGTCACRGTCCTTCTCAGCAGCGCACGTGGGGGAGTGGCAGTGAGAACTTCACGTAAAGGCAAAGTGTGAAAACTAAACTAAAGATGCCTCTGAGGAGAAGGGGTATTTTCACAGTTGCATCAGCTGTGGGGCTGTGAAGACCCAGTGTGATGCTCTAGTTTGACCTCTAGCATGGGACTTCTCTGAACTAATTTGTTTTTCGGTTAGAGCATATGTTGTGGAAAGCATCTGATTTCAATTAAAACAATTCTAGCCAGGCAGAGCGATCCTACCATAGATACTTTTTCACTATCTAATAGAACTCTGATTAGGAATATGTACATTTATTTCTAGACTGGATTTGCCTAGCTTCCCTTCCAGCCTTCTGACTTTATCTCTCTGCTATTCTGAAGGCTTCCTGCTAACAAAGCAAAACAAAAAATCTGCATTTTAACTAGGCTGTGACCATGTCATTTCCCCTTTTTCCTTTGGGCTCTTTTTATCTTTATCTGTTACAGAAAAACAGGCTTGCTTACATGGGCTATGAAATAATGTATGTGTAGCATTTAGGAGTTTCTGTGTGTTGGAACTAGAGTCATCTTGTGCACTGGCTGTTGGAGAGTTGTACAGTAATAGTTTTAGTGCACCCAGAGCTAAAGCCCCAGTGACCATCTCTCTGCACAGTAGGAAATGTTTTCTTGTCCTTTAAACGTTGCTTTAATTCTTCTCTGATCCTTTTCCAAAATATCAATTCCTATCTTTGACTTTTGAATGTCAAGATCAGATATACTGTTTCAGTAGAAGCCAGCACCGAAAACAAGGATAGTCAGGCAATTGGAATAAGTGCCAGTTCTGCCAGAAAGTTAGTGCAAAAATTATACAGAGAGGAGAAAAAAAACCCACGCAACTTATATTAARTGAAGAGGCAATAGTCCATCTGTTAACATTCTTTGTTAATCAAGGTAGGATTTAGTTTGATTTTGTCTCGAAAGTTTGGGGGTTTTACATACAGGTGTTGTTATGTAAGCTATATGTTCTTGCATGGTCAACAGAGATATAAGACTGAGTTAATTTGCCCATGCCTGGCACAGGAACTTGAGCTCTTTCAATGGCAGATGTAGGTGAGGTAGGGTACCATAGGCTGTCCTTAATAGCACTAGACCTCTCATATGGCCAACTGACTGGGGACCTTAGTCAATGTAGCTAGTGGAACCCAGCGAGCGATTCGTCTGACAGCTGCCTCTGTATTTGAATCTAAAGCATCACCATGTAGTGTTATCTTCCCTTGGGAATGCAGGACATCTGTACTGGCCTACCATACAACTACAAAGCCTATAGGAGACCCATACTCTTTTGGAGCAGCAGATGCAGCCCAGGCAGACATCCCTGTCATTCCGAATGCATCTCACAGCTTGCCATTAGGCACTTCTGAATGGCATTAGATGTCCATTAGCACGGGCAAAGGAACCGAGTCCAGATGTCTGCCTAAGGAGGTCTGAATTGCCTTTTTATTCCATTGACAGTATTAACTAGATCGTCATCATCTTGGCACTTAACATTTGTATATATACCTACATAAGGATAGCTAAGMGTAGTTGGCCTTATATCTTGATAGATATCAGATAGATAGATAATAGATATCTTACATCTATTGATAAGATATCAATATATCTTATATATTGGCTAGTTTTCCCACAAGTTGCAGTAAATTATGCTAGTGCTAACTGTACTACTTCTTTAACTTCTCTGAAATAGTTCATATAAATACACCTAAATTCAGTGGGCAGACATCATTTCACTTACTTTTTCTGATCTCATTTCACACTGCATGTGACCTGTGCCTCTTCCCCTTCATCAGTCCCTCTCCAGGATTCTTCTTAGGCATATATGCTTATTCACAGTGTGACCCAATTGCCATTACTTTGGTGAAGGTTTAAAATGAGATCATTTAAGCTGGTAAGGATCAGAGCAGGAAATCCATGAGAATTACTTAATTGAATAAAGAAATGTGAGGGATTGTGGAATGCTAGGCAAAGACAAGACAAACCAGCACGTTCATCAAACGTCAGCACAGTTTCTCTCCCCAGTGATGGCAGGAGGCTTTTGCAGCTTTCCAGATGTTGTCCTCTGGGCTTCTCCAAATGCACCATTTGTTTAATGTTCTCTGGGGAGCAGAGAGTGCATTGGACAGTGGTCTAATAGGGGCCTCCTTTCTCTCCCACCAAACAATTAAGGAAACTCATTTTCTACTCTGGGCACTTCCCAGTCACAATTGAGTTCTCTTGCTGAATCATCATCACCATAATGTCTTTTTTTTTTTTTTTTTTTTTTTTTCCCCTCTTCTTTTTCTGGCAGCTGGCATCATCTCAACAGTAATTAGTGTATAAGACCCTATCCAACACTTCTAAATATCTCAGGCTTCCCCTGTATCTAGCCTCTCATCTCTGTTCACATGTACCCTGGGTTAAAAAGTGAATCTTGCTTTTGAGCTGGCAATTGCTTCTGCCCAGATCCATAATTTGTACCATATGTGGCTAGAGACAGTTAACATTAATAGGAGTTTTGCTGTGAAATACCCTCTGGCACACAGCATGGAAAATATATTGTTAATCATATGGAGAAAATGTTCTGAATATTAAACAAAACCTACTATGAGTTTTAACTGCCTAATGTGGAACTAGTGGGATGAGCTGGTTGTGATACAGAAGCGGAGAATCCCACCACCCATGGCACTGGGGTTTTGGAAAAGGGGGAATCCTGTGGTAGTATTGAGGCTGTCTTCTGCGGTGACGGCTTTATGCCTTCTGCAAACACACAGGGGGGCATTGCTATGAGAGGTTACTCTGTGATCTTGATCAGAATGATTTCAGATGTTAACAGGAAGAAAATGACCCTTCCCAAATTAGAAAAAGCACAGATGAGTCATACTAGGAGACTGCTGTGTTGTATTGCCAGATACTTATTAGTGGCCTAGCGCAAGCCTGGAATAGCAGCCGAAGCTCTGATGTAGAAGGTGTCAAGACAGCAGCTGCTGCAGGAGCAGCAGAGTTGTGGTGGCTGCCACTGCTGCTCCTGCCCAGCAGCTTCTGCCTGTCCCTGCTGCAGGAAGGGCAGGTGTGTACACTGTKCATTGCTCCTGCAGAGTTCTGAAATAAGGGGTTCTTCCTAAATAAGGGGAGAGAGGCTCATAGTAAGAGACTCTTAAGTGCTGTGGCTGCGCTGAGAAACACTTAGCCCAAATTCGGTATCAGGTCTACGTTTGTTTATTGTTGTAGTGAGAAACTCTCAATGTACGTTTCAGGGTGGAGTTAACTGTTTACTTGCTTGACATGGCCAGAAGAAGCAGGGAAGGCTTCAGAAGCTCAGTTAGAAAAAAAACCTTCCTAAATCATCTTCTGTATTTGGAATCAAACCTGACCTGGAGTGCTCATCTAACATTTCTTAAGTATTTATAATGCACAACATGCAAGACAAATGATGCAGGGCTTGCCTTCTCCTCACCTTTTTCCCTAGCACCTCAGTAGAATATTAAGAAACCAGTAGTGCATCTAGAGATTTTTTTTTTGTTAATAGAAGAGCAGGAGGATACTTATAGTTGCTTAGGGTTTTGTATTGTAAACCTGTGGTGGAGTGGTCAGCGAGTGCTGTAGCTGTCCTAAAAATTTTTGTGACTTTGAATCTCAATGTGCTTGCTCTGTTGAGTGTATGAACCCTGCGCTTTCCTTTGAAAAATGACCCAAACATCTTCCTGATCAGATCTGATTCCTGTATGTATAGAGAACCAGACTAACCTCCTCTGGTAAGAAAGAGGATATTTTGGTTACTATGAGCACTGGCACAGTCAAGAATGAGAGCTGTGTAAGAGTTTGGATTTGTCCCCCTAACTTCCAGAAAACGAATTCTGCCATGACAGACATGCCTGTCAGGGACAAAACGGCCTTGAATGGCCTTTGGAAAGCAACACTGAGGGAGAATGAGTTTGCCAAGCTTTCACGGGTATGTCTAGACTTGCAGAATCCTTTATGGTAGTGGGACATTTGTTAGGAGCCTAAGCTGAAAACAGCTTATTTTTCCTAGAAGATGCCAGATATAAGATACTGTGTTTAAACTTGCAAGTTGAGCAAACTTGAGGTCAACACGACATAGGTTAAGTTAAGAAAAGGCATGCAAGAGCTCTGGTTATAACAAGGCTCTGCTCTTCAGGTCAAGGTGGAAATTCTGAGCCAAAAGACAATAGCAGTGCAAAACAGACACTGTTAATCTTCATATCAGGTAAAAATGAGGTGTGTAGAGTTGGAATAGTCGGGACTAGAAATATCCCTGACTTTGAAGATTGCTGTTTTAAAAAATATTCCCTCTTTTAAAGGTGAGGAGTCGTATCAAATTCTGTTCCACTGATGTCAACTTTAATCAAATTATTAAACAAAGAGGGTTTTGCCAGGTAAACAACCAGAAATGCCAATGATGTCAAGCATTACTTTTTAAGAAAATACATTTCTTCCCCAGTTCTATAAAGTAGGGATTGACAGGACACAGTGCTGGCAGGGGTTAATAGCTGTAGGTCCCCTGTGGCTAACTGCAACCACCTCCATTGGAGGGGGTAGGGTGTGCCACAGGCCTTAAGGCCTTTTGGACTGCGTGATCTGTATATTTTGGAAATGCCTCTGAAATGTGGTTATRTAGTCTCTCTTTTATGCTGGAATGAGCTCAGCTAAAGGGCAGCTGCTCTTGAGCATCTCTCTTCCCACCCCCTTTTCCCAGTTCAAGTTGCTTTGCCTCCTRAGAAATTGGAGAGGGGCTTTAGTGAAGTGAAAAGAGAGGGAAGAAGAGAAGGGAAAAAAGTTAATAATTCTACACAGACAGTCTATCGGAGACGTTAAGGACAGAGAGCAATCTCAGCTGGGCTTCTCCTTGGTGTGTCATGCTTTTCAGCTCCTTTCATGCAAACTTCTCCCCCCACTATCCCCATCCTGCCATTCTTTAGTCCCTCAGTCTCTCTCTTTCTCTCTCTCTCTCTCTTTTTTTCTTTCCCCTCCACACATTTCTATCTTTTGTTTTTATTTCCCCCCTGCTGTTTTCCTTGATAGAAATCTCACTCATGCATTTCTCTTCCGGATTTCTATTGGGTTATTTTGTCCTCTCGCTCTCTGCGCCTTGGTCCCCTTTTCTTTCTTTGTCTCTTGTCCTAGAGTAAAACAGCCGCCTCCCTGCTGGGTCAGGATGACAGTGCCGTTAGCTTTCCCAGTGCCAGCCCTTCCCACATCTGTGCAGCTTTTGTCCGAGGGCAGAGGGGGATTTGGAATGGTCGGTTGGCAGCGCCAGGGAGACTGATGTAAAAATGAGGTCCAAAAGAGAGAGGAAGGGGATTTAGTAGGAGGACGTGAGATGGTTTAAGAGAAGCACAGCTGAAAATAGTAAAGAAATAAAGGATGTGGCTCAGAGCTGTGTGAGAGTTGGGACTATCTAATTTTAGAGATAAGGCAGAAAGAACAAAAAGAGTGAATCTTGTTACCAAATTGGTTATCCCCAATATCTGACCTCAAGTGTGACTGAGATGAAGTCCAGGGTGCTCCTAGGAGTGACTCTATCTGGAACTGTCTCCTGGAGAGCCAGCTCTGTGCACAGCCAGCTTGTACCTGGCCCCTCCGGGGTCTGCATTCGTTGCTTGCCCGACAGCCTGCAGCTCTCTGCTTCTCCATCTTCATGTCACTGATTCTTCCCATGCCAGACCACTTTTCCTTCATCCTTCATTTCTCCACACTTAGTCAGCCCCAGCAACTCTGCCCTCTCAGATCCTGTTCTTGTACTTCCTCTCTCTCCTTACTCCAGCTGTTTCAACCCCTTTCCCCCTTCTTCTCTGTGCATCAAGGTAAGTGACTCTGTACCCCTTGCAGTCTCTTTGTTCCACATTTGAGTCACACACATTCATTGTCCCATCAGTGAAGAGAAATAATACCCTATTTGACAGTGCCTGGCCCAATGCATTGAAGGGCATTCCTTGTTACCTGTCATTGAGAGGTGGCATTGCCGCAAATTTTGGGGAAATGCCTCTATTTTGGGAGAATATGACTTTCTTTTCTCCTGAGAACTGTCATGGAATCTGTTTGCTCTTTTTTTTTTTTTTTTTTTTTTTTTTTTTTTTTTTTTTTTTTTTTTTCTGTTTCTCAGGCAATTCTTTTTTCTCTCATAGAGGGAACTTGTTTAGCCTGCTCTGTGCTTCTTCTATGCTTAAAGGACCTTTCAGTTTGTGTGTGATTCTCCTTCTAGACAGGAATGACTGACAGAGCTGCCAATGTGGAAATGGGAATGTGTGGCATTAGAGTGCACAGTGTTTTGAAAACAGAGAGTAGCTAAATAGGTTAATTTATATGGGAAGTAATTGGTATGAAATGCCTTGTGCACTGGGGCCTAAGGACACCACTGTTTTGATCACCCTGTTTTCATCTTGATGCAAGATGAAGGGAATGAGCAACCTGCAATTCCAGAAGCAGGGATAGCAGCTGCTTTGATGATAGTGAATGTGCAAGTTATAGAAAGAGTGAGGAGGAGACAGGCTGCTCTGATCCTTTTAAACACACCCGCAGACTGAGAGAAGTAATGAGAAGAGGATGTGTACAGGCCTTTGAAAATAAATAGCACAAAATTCTTCAGTTTCAGGTGAGATTTGCCATAAGCTCTTGAGGCTTCTTGAATCTGAAATTCAAAGTGTGATGAAGAGAAATATTCATGTGCAGGAAGTAAAATTCCTGTAAAGTTTCATGTTCCCCTTGCTAACTGTCCCTTACCATCTGGCACAATGCTCCAGAGTGTTTGACAAGAGGATAATAAGCTAGACTGCAAAGGGAAAAGTTTTTCTCATTTTGAATTCCAATCTTAGCCTTTCCATCTCACTGTAATTTAATGATGGATTTCACTGCTATACACATCTGCCTGTAGTGAAAATCAAGGACAAGAGAACATTAGCATAAATGCTTTATTTTGTAGCATTTAACAAAAATCTTTTTCTATTTTCCTTAATCTTACTTTCCTGACCATTGCTAACCACTGGGGTACAAGATTTGCATATCAATATAAACACTGCTGGGAATATTCCACCCTGATCTACATTCTGTATAACACTATTAAATGAAGTAGCACAGGGATGTCATTCAGGACAGAATTTGACTAATTTCAACTTCCTAATGACATTTTCTCTCTAGTACTAACAATAGATTTAACTTACAGTGTATCAGGGTTTCCAGTATATCGGCAATTCCAGTGCACAGTACTTATGTGAACATCTTAATTGAGCAAGGTGAAGAGTGAAAAAATAAATGTCATGAATATTCATTCCCAGTATTATTTAGAGGCTGCAGCTCCCTGTTGCTCACACTCTAGCAGTGACTGTGTATTCCGAGTTTTCCTAGTGCAATGACTTGGGCAAGCAAATACTGTCTTTAAGTTCTGCATACAGTACAAATTGAGCTTTCAGTTGGCTTCTTTTAGACATCTGCACCAAAAACCTGCTTCTGGGAGTAATGCTCTTCCAGTCATGTGGACAGCTGCTGTGTGACGTTCCTGATTCTCTTTTGCAGGTCCATCTGAATTACTGGACATGACAGACAGTGAAACGTAAGTATAATTTATCCTGCTGTTTACCTTACCCATGTTACATTAGCAGAGTTCTCCCAATATTCAAGTGCAAACTTTCAAATAAGGAAAAAAATCTGAAAATGACACATTTCTTAACCCCATCCTCTCCCTTCCCCACTCCACAATCAACAACAATCTCAAAMCTGACTTTCTGACCTCCAACAAATGTTTATCAAACTTCAAAAAGGACTTCAAAAAGGAGAGGCTGAGTGAGCTGGGCCTGTTTTCTCTGGAGAAGAGACGGCTCAGAGGGGATATGATTAATATGTATAAGTTCAGGAAGAGAGAATGCAGGGAGGAAGGGGACAGGCTGTTTTCACTGGTGGCCAGCGACAGGACGAGGGGTAATGGCCACAAGCTGAAGCATARGAAGTTCCGTCTCCAGGTGAGGAGGAACTTCTTTACTGTTAGGGTGACAGAGCAGTGGAACAGGCTGCCCAGGGAGGTTGTGGAGTCTCCTTCTCTGGAGGTCTTCAAAACCCGCCTGGATGCCACCCTGTGCCACATGCTSTAGGTGTGCCTGCTTGAGCAGGAAGGTTGGACTAGATGATCTGTAGAGGTCCCTTCCAACCTTAAATATTCTGTGAATCTGTGACTTYCTCTCTTTTGCCTGCCACTCCACCTGCCCCTTTATTCTAGAGGAATACGTGTTCAAGGTCTTTTATTCTGCCCATTCTTGAGTCATCCACAGTGCTTTGTCCCAAGTGGTTGCAGCTTGTGCCACCAACTATTAGAACATCAACCACCTCTTCTTTATTACATAATAAAGAAAAAAATTACTTTTCAATTTCCACCTGCTGTATGACCCCTTGCATAACGAAGATGTCACAAAGAGGATATATYGAAAGCATGAGTAATGCTGGGAAGCATCTGGGGTATAATAGAAACAAAAATAGTCTTTCTCATAGAGTTAAGCATGTCCTCCTCTAAGATTCCCATCATACAGTGCTCTCTTCTGCTAGAGGAGGTCACCAAGAAGGTTTTATGTAGGTGCACGGGCTGTTTGCTGGTAGTGAAGTCTAGTTGGTCCACCAGTTCCTCACCATGCAGAGGCAGAGCAAAGCCACTGAAATGAAATACAAGTGAATATTGCAATGGGCGCTTCCAATTATAAAGGATATGTCCATCTACCRTTCACCCTTGAAAAGCAGAGCTTCGAGCCGTGCTTACAAGTACAAATGTATCTTTTGTTCTTCAGGTGGAAGTCAGATCATATCTAGTTCTGAATCTAGCTCTAAATCTAGCTCTAGTGCAGTGGAGAAAGATTCATTACAAGATTGCTTGTTAGTATTTCAACTTGCCCTGTCATGGATTTAGATGGAAATTCCCCTGTGCACTCTCGTTTGCTGGGTAGGTGTGTGTAAGATCTGTTCAGCTCTAGGTAATTCTTGTCATTTGTCGTTTTGCAGAGTGTATAATGGCCCTATTTATTTGACACAAGCATCAATAACACTCATCCACCATACTTTCTTGCTTTTACTAGTCAAAGTGTGATGTGATTTTTTGTAACCTCAGTAGTGTTGTCAGTTCAGAATCCTGAACGTGAGGGTTCAGGACACTGAGGTTACATGTAGCCCCAATCTGAGTGAAGAGCTTTGCTCTTCACCTGCTATTTAGCCTTCTGTTTTGAAATCTTGTGTTCAGAGTTCCCCAGTAGTCCAGCAGGTAATAACAAAATCATAGATCTCCACTCATACATCCAAGAGAGGAAGGTATCAGAGCCAGGGCAGCAAGTGTACCAGTCATGACTGATGCACAAGATTTTTATAACATCCCTCCAAGAGTGAGGTTCAGGAAAGAAGTAGCAGGTAGAAGAAAATTCATTGCTGTTTAGTCCGCTGTGAAATAAAAAGGTGGATAGTTTGCCCTTGCAGCAGTGCAGAATTAGTGATTGGATGGAAATGTGCCTTTGCTTCCTTCAGGCTCATAGAACAGCTGTTTCCTTTTCTTTCCAACCCTTCCAAAGTTCTCTGTCTGCTGTTTGTGCATGGCAGGCTTTCCTGCTGAATAGGAGGATGTAGATGCTAAGGGAGAGAGTACACAAGTCCTCCTCTGCTAGCAAGAGGGAACCTCACAGAAATACAGCTCCTTCTCTGTCTGCCCTCTGCATAAATGTACATTGGTGTGATGTGTCTCACTGCTGGTTTCTGTGCTTTGGTCTAGGGGTGAGACAGCATTACATAAGGCGGCCTGCCAGCGCCATCGTGCCATCTGCCAGCTCTTGGTGGATGCAGGAGCATCTCTGAGAAAGACGGACTCCAAGGTAACCCAGACCAGTGAACCAGTTATAAAATACTTCAGCCAAGCAAGACCAATCAGCATCYGTCCCTGCTGTGTGCATGATTGAGGCTTCCTTGTGCGTGTCAAGAGCATTTCTTCTTAAACGAGGCATTTTTATTTAGAAAACTGTATTGATTTAAACAAATACAAGAGACTTCAGTCTCCAATGTGGGTATAGTGAGAGACTGGCCTGAAACTATTCAGCATGTTGGTTATGAATGAGGCATCTCAATGGAACAGCATCATCATCCTCCTGTGTGGTCAAAAGAAAAGCCTGTGGGTAGGGACCACCTGGGGGAAYCTTAGGTTTTGATTGCACAGTGTCTGTGAGGCTTGATTGTTGTGGATGACTTGCTTTGTGGGATAGCTAACTGTTTTCATTTGCCCTTGCTTGCCCCTTCACGCATTGATGCAACACTAACCTCTTGGTTAAGCTTGGGATAAGACATGACTAACAGAGTCTGGGCCTGAGGAAGATGTCTGGGGAAAGCTGAAACATAAGAATATTCTGTCAGTATAAGTATCCAGTTACTTAGGAACATGATACAGAAGCTGCCTCCTGATCTTTCTGTATATAAGCAACCTGTGATCAGCAGCTGAGCGTGGTCAGACCTCAGACCTTTCACTGCAGCAAGACAATTAAGAAAATACTCTACCTTGATGTTGTATGGAATAGCCTATTGCGAGGGAGGGAGGGAGGGAGGGAGAGGTCTTCTCTTTCAGATGAGTACTATAGATTGCAAAAGAAAATTTCTGCCACAGCTCAAATCCAGATAAATGGATTCTATCTTGCTAATCTTCCTCTGCCCAGAAATGCAGGAAGCAGGAGAATTTTTGAGGAAAGCACTAATGCATTTCCAATAACTTATGATGTTTGAGAATCAAGATTTTTGGTCCAATTTTGCATTAATCTTAGGGTAACTCGGATAAGAGAGTAGAGCAGGGATGTGCTGAAAATTGATTATCTCAGTAGTTGAGATGAGCTCAGTGTGGCTCATTCTGTTTTGAATRTTGTGAATCTCTATCTGCCAGTGTTTACATAAGTTGTGTAGTGTAGTTGTGTGGTCTGTGAAGTGTTCTTTTTAAGCACTASATATAACATGTATTCTTGTGGGAACTTTATCCCTAAAATGAATACTCTGTTTAGCTGCTTCTCTGCAGGGTTAAATTATTTGTCCTAAACCACACATGGATTTTGAGAATCTTAAGAATCTCACCGTTGTTGCAGAATGGAATGACACTCAGAAAAATTTGATTTGATAACATTATTTGCTGCTTGACTCCACAAATTTTCTTCTACCCTACTTGCAGTAATTTCTATGGATCACACTTTTTTTTTTTTTTTTTTGTGTTCTTTAAAAGTGTTAGCACAAAGTTTTCTTTCTGTGTTCCTTTGTTATAGGGTAAGACCCCTCGTGACAGGGCTCAGCAAGCCGGCGATCCAGATCTGGCCTCCTACCTGGAGAGCCGGCAGAACTACCAGATGGTTTCCCATGAGGACCTGGAGACAGCAGTTTGAAAATGAGGAAGAGAACCCTCGGAAAAAACCAAGGCTGCACGTGAGGCACTCGGGCATCATGTGAGGAAGAAGCTGATGGAATCAATGTGTCTCGCGCTCGTGGAAAATATCTGAGGACATGCCACCAGTTTCTAAGGGCTACGGAGTCTTGCCACGGAACGGTTAGGTTCCTTATGTTAGCCCGAGATGGATGAGGCGGGACACTTAAAGGTCTGTGGAATCCATGGGCCACGGAAATTTACCTTTATTGCTTCCAGCAAGTAGCATGAACTTCTCCCATTTTCATCTGTAGAATTTATTAAAAAGAAAAGGAAAGAGAAAAGGAGATGTGAGAGAAACCAAACTATCTGGACATTAAAGCATCCAACCAGGCCCTCCTCTGTCCTGACAGTATCCTGCATTCCTTTCACTCCGCTGTTCCCCACACTCGCCATCAGTTAAATATACCTGTTATCTCTGTGTTAAGTCTTCACAAATGGTCAGGCAGTAGCAAAAAAATTGAGGAGCTCTGGATGCCCTTAGGAAAAAGGACATTTGTACCTGCTGAGTTCTCTCCCTCACTGTTCCTTTGGAAGCTGGTTCCTCAGTGTTCAATCACCAGGGGATTTTCTCATTTTTGGAAAGTATTCTCTCTATTGCCTTGTTTTTGGGGGTGTGAAGCACAGATTTACAGGAGTAATAAAAATTAGCCTCCTCATTTTTGCTGGGTTTATCATTATGGTTTCCTCGGGAGGCAGTTATTTGAGTGGAAAGGAGCTACATGGGATAATCCATGTTGTATGACAGAGCAGGAAGTGAGCAGGAAGTTGACAGACTGATTCCGCTCAGGTGTCAGGTCTGCCTAAAAGTTTATAGCTAATTTTTACTTCCAGCAAGGTAGGTTTTAAGCTGAGGAGAGATCAGTGCAAGACAGAACAAATTACAACTGACTGACATTAACCCAGTGCCCTTTGAGTTGCTGCCAGGCATGGGCAGCAAACCTAGAACATGAGCTGAGAGCACAGGATTGCTGTCATGGTCAATGGAACGAGCACAATGGAATGGCCATTGTGATCAGAAAAGCTCCCTTGGCTGGACATGGCAACTGTCCAGTTCCACAAGAGAACGGAGATGAAGTTTTAAAATGAGGCTGTCCCAATGAAAAGGAACAAGTGGCAGCTCTTTGACTCATTGCTCACCATAAGCTTGGAAACTTAAATTGCTTAGCTGCTGTAAAGGCCAGCTGTGTCTTCTGTATTTGTCCTCTGTCTTACCTCACAGACTGTAACCACCGAAGAAGAAAAAGCCAACACACATAAATATACATCCACAAAATATTCATATCCAGGTTTTCCAACACTAAAGAAAATTCAGCTACCAGAAATAGCAGAGCTTCCATTTACTCTGATCAATCCTCAAGGCATAATTCTTGCAATAGATTTTTAATTTTTGCTTTGTTGTTTGATTTTTAAAAAATGCTGGTGTTTTGTTTTGATGGTTTTTTTGCTAGGTGTAGGTCTGTCTCATAGGTGGTGACATCAAGATTACATGCAACTTGGAATCCTTGAAAATAACTCAGGTTATTATTCAGATAAGTTTTTCTTCTTTGGTAGCGGTTGTGCAAATGGATTGAATGAGATTCCTTCCTGTTCTTTGATTTTTTTTTTTTGACAGAGTGATTGTTATAGCAGAGAGAGAAGAGCTGAAAAATATATTTAATTTTTTTTTCTGTTTTCAAAAGTTCATTTGATATGAGCAAAATATTTCTTTAGTGTTTCTTCCTCTGGAAGGAAACTATATATATTTGTAATCTATAGATCAATTGCAACGTGAAATGTATTTTGTCTTATTTTCTATCTTTATTTTACCTTCCTTGTTTTCAAAAATAAAATATGAAAGCCAAATTCCTTCCCTTGATAATCATCCAGGGGCTTGTGGTGAAGAGCAGTTTTGTGTATACATTAGAACAGAATTTGGCGACAGTTAAAAATAAAAAATCAGAGTACATTGTATGCRAAATTTCCATAAGGAAGATCCTCATGCTGTGGTTTCACTTTAGTCCTTGCATTATTTCCCAGCTGTGAGGAAAGATGCACTGAAACATTTTTATTTTACTAAAAATAAGAATCACATTAGCACCAGTTTTATCTTTTTTTGGTTTGTGTTACTGATGTGAGATGTGGAGGAAGCTTCAGTGATACCATGGGCAGGATCCTCTTCTGTGCTGAGCCAGATTGGTGCCCAAGTTGAAGATGGTCGGCCTTTGTAGCTCCTTCCTCAAGTCCCCAAGAGTAGGTGAAGCAACCACAGGYTTGCTTTGATCACAGGTAACTTCCAGAGAGAGTTTCACAGGTAAATAATTACATCAGACTTGGGTCTGGTCCTGCTCTGCCCCGGTATTCCTCCCCTCAGTGATCTGTTCCTCCTGCCCATGAGGTGGCCGGTGCAGGGCTGGCTGGTGGGCCTTGGTCAGCACAGTGTGCTCCGGTGCCGAGGGCAGCTTGGCAGGAATGGGCAGAGCTCCTGGAGCCACCCGGGCTCCGCAGCAGAGAATCCAGCCTGCCAGGACTGGAGGATGATGCTGTGTTTAGAGGGAGGCTGATGCGCTTTTGGAAAGTTTCCTGCTCTGCGTACTCAGTGGGAGGCATCCCTGTGTGACAGAAAGAAGATCCTGCGCTGGAGATAGGACAGGACCTGGCTGCAGGAAGTGCCTTTTAATATTCAAGGTATCTAAAGCACTTCACAAGCAATGCCCATAGATACAGGCAGTATTTCTGTGTAGGTAACAGAGCATATGTTGTTTCCGTAAATGGCTCCCTGACAGCCTGGGATATTGGAACTTACTTCATTGAGGGAGGAGCTTTGGGCCACCAGGGGATTATTTCTTACTCCTTTCAAAGCACCATAGGATTCTCGATTCTGGACAGCCACCAGAAGCAGGCAGACTTGGCATCAGACACAGGGAACACGTATGTATTGAATCTCTGAGCATTTGGGCTCTAGGTTAGTGCAATAACATTGTGTTTGCAGAATACGCTGCGCCCAAATTTCCATGTGCAGCAGGGAACCCACTCAAATTACATGCAAAACATTTTGATTTACTAGAAGTATCAATGCTGTGGTTGTGTCTATTTATGTGTCTGTGTTATGTGTGTGTATGTATGTATATATACATGTATGTTTATAAATAGATGTATTTGTATACAAATATGTTTATTTATAAACATACAAATATATATATAGACTCACACACACATATCCACACACATTTTTACAACAGTTGCATTTGAATGACAAAGTACCTASGGATGATCCTCTACTGAGGTTGTTGGACTAACAAAATATCATGTTCCATCTGAATTTGATATTAAAGGGGATCCTTTTTAGTAGAATTGAGGAGCTCCTGAATTGTTCCATTGTACTGCTTTGACTATCTCATTTTAAAGTTAAACGGAGGGAAAGATAATATTTATAATGCTGATAAAATAAACTTCCTTTTGTTATTAAATAACATCAGTTACATGTATTATTTAATATTTTGATGTTAGAGATATCTTTGTGTGTTATCCAAGGTATGACAAGGTCATACATTTCTCAATAATTATAGCACCCCTGAGGCAGCGTTGTGAGGTGTAAGGCTGAGTGACTCATTTAAGGCAGGAGTTCAAGGCAAATTTTGCCCTGCCTTACAAATTGGGCCTTGGACTCTTTTTGCCGTTTCATGCGATGGCTTGTGTGTGTGGCTGTGCATGAAGATGTCTCTGTGTAGGTGGTTTTACTGACACCTTCCCCAGCAGCAATGAAGTTCTTCATATCAACTCATGGTGCTGTGGGCTGGATTCTGACTACGTGAGCTGTCCTCTGACATACRAGGTCTGTCTTGCAGAAGCACCATAGGCATAAAGAGAACAAWAATGATGTTTTGTTGCCATAGATCTTCCCAGTTGCATGTGTATGTGCAGAGCTGGTGCTTTTATGGATGGACGCATGGTTTTCCTGGTGGTGCAGCAACAGGATCGTTTGAGGAGTATTTAATGGCCTCTTTGTCTTTTTTGTGTTTGTCTTTGCTGTCATAGTGATGTGCATGGTAAGGAAAGACACTAACACAGTCTTACCGAGAAGGCAGCAGCTATTTTCCTTCCAGCAATCTATGATACCTGCTGTGGGGTGCACTTACGTGTTGATGCTTCCAGTATATCAAAAGCATGTTGAGAAGATTTGGCTCCTGGCAAAAGCTGTGAACTGGGTGAGGTGCACTGGTAGTCTTAAGCTCACTGGGGTTTAATGGTACTCAAGAAATGTATGGACATGCTAGAAATTTGGATGCCTTGAAAACACTCCAAAGTCAATTCTGTCATTGCGCTTCAAGTACTTCAATAAGGAAACAGTTCCTCRTGCTGACCAATTTGAGGTCTGTCATTTTTCCCCTCTATTTTTTGCTTCTCTTATGTCAAAGTAACATATGTGGATGAATATTTTGAGAATGGTCTATAAGGTTTTGTGCTGCTCTATCACAGTGAAAATATCATTTCTTTCTCTTATTATATTTATTCTTTACTATTCATCAGCTACTATGCTTCCCTCCATTTTCCTCTCTGAACTTGAGCCAAAATGACATTGGTTATGTGCCTCCTAATTAGTCCAAAGCATCAAATGTGAGTATCTGTAGTTATTTCAGCAGTCCTGAAAATAGTTTATGATAAAACTCTGCTTTTTTTCTGGATGGCCCTTCTGGATGGCTCTGAAATACCAGGCAAGACACTGTTGTGGGGATCGCTGTAGTAAAAGTCTCTTCATTTTGACTTCTTAGCAACAAAGCAGGCAAAGTATTTTTCCTAGTAGACTATCATTACAGTTTTAAAAACCCAGAAGCTGCCTGCCACACACTGCTGATTGCAACAGATACTCAATAATGTGCCAAAGCTGACTTGTCAGCATATCGGTGAAGGYGAGAATTCTACGTGGGAGGAAGCGACTTGAGCTTCAGCACTTCCACTTGCCCTTGGGAGCGCAGGATGCAGCGCGTGGCTGACCTGTGGAAATGCCTCCATAGGAGCTGTAACTGAGGCCTGTGCCCAGCTGCTGGGATGAACGGAGGGCTTGGGATGTCCCAGCCTTTGCTGAGGAGACAGCAGTGCAGGCACGCACCGTTACAGCAGGTACCCACCGCAGCTCAATGCCGGCAGCTCAGCACTTGCCTTAGGGTGAAAAAGCTGCCCAGGGGCAGGCTAAGCACATGGGCCATTTCTCACATTTAATTTTGTTCGAAGCTGGCCTGAGAGCAATCTGCTATCCAGGAGTCAAGGCAGTGACTGTGGTTATGAGTACGCCAGTGGTGCTCTGGCATCGTGTTCCTCCAGACTGCCATATCCTTGGGAGGTACTAGGGCTCAGGAGAGACCCCCTTTCTCTCTCCTGCATGTTCCCAGCACCACTGCTTGCAGTAGTAGGGTAGTGTCTGCAGAAACCAGTGCTCTCCTGCCCCTGTGCACATGCACTGCAGACTGGTTTACCTCCTCTCCACCCTTGGCCAAGAGATTTCCTGACCTCTGCATGGTGCCGCTGCTGCAAAGGGGGAAAGTTCCCTCCCTCGGGCCTTGATCATGCCAGTAAATTCATTACCTTTGACTTCAGTGATTAGGCAGGCTTAGTGCTGAATAACCTTACTGTATTCAGCCATCAGAGTGCATCTTGTCTTCTACCTTATTTATTAGGTGCCACATTCCAGCCTGGGCTGCAGGTTCGTGTTTCTCAGGCTACCTTTTTTTTTTTTTTTTTTTTTTTTTTTTCGGCATACAACGAAAATCTATTGTGTGCTTTACACATGTATCCAGTTACCAAGAGAGTGGGGAAAAAAGGGAGCTGAAAAGTCTTCATTCTGATGTAGTATATGGTATTTCTTTATAGAATCTATATGGGAAGATGCCTTGCAACAAAAGTACTTTTATAACTAAGAAAATTCCACACTTTGCCTTTTAAAATCTGTCAGCTTATCCTACTGTGTTGCCTCCATGAGAGACTTTGGGAAGCTGAGAAGGTAGTGATTCTTTTAAGACAGCCATATCGAAAAAGATAAATACCTGAGAGAGTAGAAGCTTAAGAAGGCACATTTTCCTCAGCGATGGGTTTCTATCATTTTACCCTCATCTAGATACAGAACTCTGTTTCTAGACTGCAAGAGCTTTGGGAAAACTATTTCAGAGTTCCTCTGTATGTTAAAAGATTCCACTTTCCAATACTAAGTATGCAGAAACTGCAACTTTTGAAACGAATGAAACAGGCGTTTTTAAATTTTTTTTTTTTTTTTTTAGCAATATAGTACTACCTAAGTAATTGCTTCGTCTACAGTCAGCCTCCTTTTGCTGATGGAGTCTAGCACCTGGCTCTTCAATTAGTCCCTGTCTCGTCGACGGCTTGATGAGTAAGCGAAGCACTCGCGGTGGCAATCCAAGGCTCTGTTAT